AAGAGTAGAAGCTGCTTGGGGAGCCTGGGTGGCTCAGTCCATTAAGCGTCCGACTTTGGCTCAGGTCGTGATCTCACAGTTGGTGTTTGAGCCCCGCCCCGCGTCGGGCTCTGTGCTGACAGCTCGGAGCCTGGAGCGTGTTTTAGATTCTGTGTCTGCCCCTCCCCTGTTGGCACTCTCTCTCAAAAGTAAATAAACATTAAAAAAAAAACAAGGTGGAAGCTGCTTGACAAGAGCCACACTTAATGTTCCGCCCCTCTGTTTGGCTTGGAACTCGGCCTATTAGAGGCTCCTAAACGGTAAAAACAAACCCATGTACCTGCTGCCCCGGAAAGACTGACTGAACAACCAGAATTTCAATAAACTCCTTGTGAATTACAGCTCGCGACGAGCACTCACTGCGGGTCGCTTACTGGACATCCTCGCGGGCCTCTGTGGGAGGAGGTTAGGATCCCCTTGGAATCTTACCAAGCTGCTTTCTCAGGGGTGGAAACCTGGAATGGGAAATTTAATTTCATGCTACTTAGCACTTCCCAAAAGCTGAGGGCTCAGTATGGACATGTATTAGTTCCCTGAAAACCGACCTGCATCGTGGGCCCCTGCTGATTTGCAAGTCCCCTAGGAGTTTCCTAGCAGTCATCTGAACCTGGTCTCTGTTCAAGAGAGCGGGGAGAGACCAAAGAATGAGGCAGGCCACTCCAGGGGGGTAGGCAGCAGGTGGAGTAAGAAGGGAACTTACTCTAAGAGGCTTGTCTTGGGCTGTAAGACCAGTGGAGCCCGGCACCCGCCTGCCACACATTAAAGCTTCTACAGAGGTCTTACCTGGGTTCAGACGCGCTCAGTCACCATCATAGTGCTGTCCCCTTGGAGCAGCCTCTGGGAGCAGGAAAGGCACTCAGATCCCACATCCAGGGCCAGGGAAGGGGTGAGGAGCCTCTGATCACCTGGGGCCAGCTCACGGATCACTGGAGGTCACGTCCTCTCCATGACACCCTGACAGCCCCCCTCCTCTCAGCCCACCTTTTGCTCTGTGTCCCCGTCCCCCAAATTCACATGTTGAAATCCTAACCCCCAGTGTGATGGTGTTTAGAGGGAGCCCTGGGGGAGGTGACTAGGTCATTAGGGTGGAGTCCTCCCAAATGGGATTCTTGCCCTAGTAAGAGAGACCGCAGAGAGCACCCTTGTCCTCGCCTGTGTGTGGGGTGAGGCCACAACAGGCGTCTAACAGCCCAGAAGGGGTGCTCACCAGAACGCACGTGCTGGTCCCCGATTCCGGACTTCCAGCCCCCAGAACTGTGGGAAGCACCTGCCTGTTTCTTTAAAAAAAAAAAAAATTTTTTTTTAGAGATGTATTATGTATTTATTACTACTTTATTTATTTTTAAATTTACATCCAAATTAGCATGTAGTGCAACAATGATGTCAGGAGTAAATTCCTTACTGTCCGTTACCCATTTAGCCCACCCCCCTCCCACAACCCCTCCAGTAACCCTCAGTTTGTTCTCCATATTTAAGAGTCTCCTATGATTTGTCCCCCTCTCTGTTTTTATATTCTTTTTTTTCCCTTCCCTTATGTTCATCTGTTTTGTCTCTTGAAGTCTTCATATGAGTGAAGTCATATGATTTTTGTCTTTCTCTGACTGACTAATTTCACTTAGCATAATAGCCTCCAGTTCCATCCACGTAGTTGTAAATGCGAGATCTCATTCTTTTTGATTGCCGAGTAATACTCCATTGTCTATATAAACCACATCTTCTTTATCCATTCATCCATCAATGGACATTTGGGCTCTTTCCATACTTTGGCTATTGTCGATAGCACTGCTATAACCATGGGGGTGCATGTGTCCCTTCGAAACAGCACACGTGTATTCCTTGGATAAATACCCAGTAGTGCAATTGCTGGGTCGTAGGCTAGTTTTATTTTTAATTTTTTGAGGAACCTCCATACTGTTTTCCAGAGTGGCTGGACCAGCTTGCATTCCCTTTCTTTTTAAAAATGTATTTATTATTAAAAATTTTTTTTTGTTTTAAAGTTTATTTATTTTGGGGGGAGGGGCAGAGAGAGAGGGAGAGGGAATCCCAAGCAGGCTCTGCGCTGTCAGTGCAGAGCCCGACGCGGGGCTTGAACCCACAAACCGTGAGATCA